TTGTTTCTACTAGCTTCTTGTTACTACTAGTAAGGCACCTGTTCCTAATAGCGATGCACTTGTTACTAGTAGCTTCTTGTTACGTTCTTTTTCGAAAGCTTGAAGACCATTTTGACATAGTTTGATTGATGTAATTTGCGAGCTCTTCAGCACTTCTGTGCAGACCGTACCGCAAGCGGGTTCGAGCAGCTAGACCTAGATTGGGTTACATTAGATTGCACCAATTGGGCAGCCATTGGTCGCGGAAGCTGGGTGCTTACTACTAGTAGCTTCTTGCTCCGTTTGTAGCGATGCCCTTTGTTCCTAATAGCGTCCTCTTAGTCCTCTTGTTTCTTTGAAAGACCAGTTGTCACTTCCAAGGACACTGTCTTTGCATATCCTCAGCCATTGTATGAATATCCTCAGCCATTGTATTCTCTAGCTTTCTTTGGAATATCCTCAGCCATTGTATGCCACGCTTGGTTTGTGGGTTCGCCCCTCACCACCACACGCCATTGGATTCAGATACACTACATCACTGGATTCTGGATAAGCTTTTGGGATGGCATTTCAGGCCAGGAATGTCCCATTCGCCAATACCCACGGAATGTCGTTGGGATTTTGCGGCCATTGCACCGAGCGATGCTGAGGTTGGAGTTGGGTGATTTTTACCTGATCAGGCGCATATGTCAGGTGCTGTTGCTTCATTTCACAGCAGTAGAATTGGCAAGATAGACTCCGGTCCCAATTTGTTGGTTCTTCAATTATTAGTTACAACGCGAGAAACCTCAATCAGAACAGCTGCTTTGGTTTGAAGTAGTCGATGCCCATACATCATGTTGGTGATAGTCTGATAGTAGTAGAAGCCAAATTAGATCGTGCTGGACGAAATGCATTTGCTCAATTTGCACAACCTAACTGTGAAGGAGATCCCTGCATTGGAGTTGGCACCAATTGCCGTGCACGAAATCGTGATCGAAGTCTTGTTTGGCGCCTTAGATGTGCGGATGAAGCATGCCAAGCTTTGATTGTCAATCGAGGAGAAAAGAGGAAGACAGGTCTTAAAAAATAGGAAGAACGGTTTAGAGAGAAACATATAGTAGCAACTAAGAAAGGTCTACATAAATAACAAGACAAAAAGAACAGGCAGAAAGATATATCAAAAGGCAAAGGAAGAGATGAGACAGTTCCAAAGAAGAAACGGAAGAGGGAAGAGAAAGAAAGCTAGGTCAAAAGAAAAACGGAAAAAGGAACACGAAGAAGACAGGTCTAAAGAAGAAAAAACGGAAACAAAGAATCGAGGAAGGTTATCCATACATAAGACACTGCTGGTAGGACGCAGAAGACTCCTCCGCCTGCTCGAAACGTTTCCTAGATCTATATTCGCAACTATGTGTCAGACCTGTCCTGTGTCCTTAGACGTTTGGTTCGAGAAGTGGGGCGTTTGGCACTGGCAATTGCCCACTCACTGCATCACCATGGAAGAGCAAATGAAAGCGCAACGTGACAGGGGAATGTCCATGTTGGCTTGTGCCTTTGTTCACACATTGCTCTCACACCGCTATTAGAAACAAGTGCCTTACTAGTAGTAACAGGTGCCTTACTAG